ACAAAAAAACAAGAACAGATATATATTTCTTTTTAGACACTGATTGCTACAATAGAAACAGTAGTGGATCTACATACATTGGAACAATTAACACAACACTGAGTGGTCGAACCTGTTTGAACTGGAAATCTGTAAATTCGCCTTTTGTTTCGTTTCATGAAAACCATAACTTTTGAAGAAATCCAAATAGTTTCTTGATGAAGCCATGGTGTTATACAGATGCTGATAGATATCATTTTGAATTTTGCAATGTTCCTCTTTGTGGTATGATATTTTCTATACACAGATCCTTTATAATGAGCCTATTAATACATTATAACGTCTTGTTATTTTTTTCAAAAACAAATAAATCACAGAAAGTAATGTAATGTTCAACAGTTCAAAAAATGTATAAGTTAACACCTTTATTATTCTCAACGTTGAACCTATATAAGAAGCGTTTTTGTCAACGACGATTTATTTCTGCTTTATTCACTGAAAACCAACACTAATCAGCTTATTTACGTTTTCTTTAAAAAAAAACTGTAGGAATAATTGACAAATATACTGATGAAATTTCAACGCGTTTTGTTTAAAGGCAAAACACTTAAACTGTGACTTATGGATTTAAGGGATTGTTGCGTCGTCTGGTTTTCAAACAAGTCTTAATGAAGAAGAAAACACAAACATTGTTGTATATAGTTTTTTAAACAGATTAGGATGTAGCTTTTTCTTTGCATTCGTTTTCGCAATCCATAACTGGAGTATGTTGAACAAAATTGAGGCAGAACTAACTATATCCAAGTGGTTGGTAGAAAACAATCAAACATATTATTTCTATCTCATTTCCGTTTCAAGTTGTCTATGGAATTCATTAAAACAGATTTCCGCCTTAGATGAAGTTAAGGATGCACGGATAAAATCATATCCGCATACATTCAAATCCCATGCCAGGTTGATTATATTTGCTAGACAAGAAACCTCACATGTTTGTTTATTATCTCATGAAAAATATCACCGAAAACTTGACAGGACAATGTAACAACTGCAAAACTAATTGTTTATGTTACCATCACGTCAAGATTGTGAATCTAATTGAAAAACCATTACGTTTTTTACAAATGTACGAAGTGCAAGAAATATAAGAATATAATATGCCCAAACATAAAAATGATTGAAAAAAACTGTTTTACCTATATCCATATAATCTATTTTATTTTAATTAGTTAAGCTCCTTTTCACAAGTTGCCTTACATATCATATTAAAATATTAAGAGTAGATTGCACGCTTACGACCCTGCTATGGTATACTGAAAGACTATATTAATATAATTATCTTATTCTTGAAGAAACATGTTCTGAACAACCTTGTCACCATGGGTCTACGTGTGTAGAAGACCATGGCGTATTTTCTTGTCTATGTAATCATGGATTTAACGGTGCACAGTGCAATATTGGTCAGTATAAATACATTTGTAGGTAATTTTGGTGAAAATTCCTGTTTCTTCTAACTATCGTTGAATTTTTGTATAAAGTATTACTGCTGGATAACCATAATTTAGAATTCACATGTTTTAATTTATCTATCATATAATTTGTACACGTCTTAACATTATACATAAAATGAAAATATCACGAACATGAACAAACATCTATTTATAATCAAAATGTATTTTAGTCATCAATGTTCGTGCAATTATCTGTTTAACAAAACTAACGAAATAACATAAAGATCGTGTTTACCAAATGATTGCGTTACCAACATTTTCTTAAGGACGTCTTGGAATATTGTGTTGCCACATGTTACCAATAAATATAAACATGTCCGACTGTTGTTTGTGCTTTATATTTGAAGACCTATACTTTATTTATATTCTTTTCAGAATGAGCCATTACTTGTTAATTATGTTCTGTTTTAGATTTGGACGAGTGTGCTAGCAGCCCCTGTCACAATGATGGAACATGTCATGATGGGGCAAATACTTATACGTGTTCCTGTAAAGCTGGGTACACAGGTGTGAATTGTGAAACAAGTATGTATCATTATATTAAACAAATCTAGACGTATACCAAGTCAATTGGGAAAATCAAAATTATATAGAAAAAAAAACAGACATTACTGTGGTAAACGGCAAACTTGTAAAAACGAGTTCATGAAGCACCAAAGAGAAAACGTAAAACACTCCACTGTTCGTTCACAAACCTCCAACTTACATTTCAAGATATCGTTTAAATTCAAACTAGTTTTCTATGTATTTCTTTAAGAAAATGAGATTCATTAAAAACAGCCTTCAATCTATCTATGTCGCATATATTAAGTATGAAAATTATAAAGCAAATATAAACAGTCATCAAAGATACTAAACATAATTTAATACGCAAGACGCAATTTTGTCTTAATAAGACTCGCCAGCTGCGTTCGAATAAATACATTTGGAAGTTGAAAAGTTTTTTAAAACAAAATTTTCACAAAATATGAAAAAATATGTGTAAGGTGTTTTTTGCCCAGTGGTACAGAATTATTAGCACTTCATTTTATGAACAGTCAAGGTATATAAATGACCATATAAATAATAGTGCATACCTGCACATATGTGTGCATAAATATAGAAAGTCTAAAACGTCTTTTTTTTCATTTCTGAAATTTTCCCAGATTTATTTAAATCGATTTTTCAGAGCACATGTTTTTGGTTATTGTCTCATATTTCAAGATTAAATTCAGCTGATTATTCGAACTCATTCTAAAATGCTGTATGAACTATGCCGGTTAGTACAAACACCGATACTATAGTTTTGAATGTCTTTGATTTTTTGTCAGCATGATAAGCACTTTGAGTTTGCTTATAGTTACTGCAACCATTCTTTAACACGGTATATTGATTTTTGCTCTGCTTGTATTGTTGTTCTGTTTACCGTAATTTTGGAATTAAATATCTTTGCAGTAAAAACTCATATTAGACGTGTTTAGCGAACTTCGGTGATGTTGGTATAAAAATATTTAACTCGTAGCATATTCATGTGATAAACCAGAAAATTCTTTTAAATAATTATTCCGAGTAAGGAATTTCGTCAGTGATTGTATCAAGTCAGGAACCTTATCAGTGGTTGTTTAGAGTCAGGAAACTCGTCAGTGAATGTCCCGAGTCAGGAACATCATCAGTAAATATCCAGAGTCAGGAACCTTGTCAGTGCATGTTCCGAGTCAGGAATGTCGTCAGTGAATGTCACGAGTCAGGAATCTTTTCGGTAGTTGTCTTTTGTTATCACGCAATTTTTTTTTATCTCATGTAGGTAAATTGGTGTTGATATGCAATTTTAATATGTGAAATGTAGTAACTATTTTTCTAGACACCTTGCTGTTTTTCAGATTGATATATTGTAAAGACAACTTTCTGTTGTCCAAGACATTATATTGACCTCTGGAAGTCTTTTGATAATCCTTGTGTAAACGTAAAAATGTACTTTTTGTGATTTTAGTTTTGAATTCCTTTGACTGATATTCGTCCGTTTCAATGCAAATCATTTCCTCAAATTAATATTCTAAGTAGAATAAGTGTCGTACAAAACTAGAAGCCCTAGCTACTTAAGCAAACAGAGCCAAGATTCGTCTTTGCTATAAATGTATTTTCTCTCTACTTGTTTTTGTTTATGTTAAAGCTAATCGTGGAATATTAATTCATGATACAGTGAAATAATAAAAAATAAAACGATTATTTCTGAATTATTGGAAGAAAACAATATCATATTCACTGTCAAATCAAACAATTCAACACGATATGCTATGCTAAATATAGGTCCTCTGACTGAAAAAATAGTATCCTTATTTTGAAGTTATATTTGCGCACAACTATTCAATGTTTTCTCAGTACAAATGTTGGGGCATCTTTATAATCGCAAGTTCTACGTGCAACTCTTTATTGCTCTATTTTCATTTTAGATATAGATGGATGTGCAAGTAAACCATGTCGATTTGGAGGTTTATGTCATGATAAAACAAACGGCTACACATGTACTTGTCCATCTGGATTTACTGGAGTAAATTGTGAGAATGGTTAGTATTGAATGTTAACACGTTTATTAAAAAACCGGAAGTAATAAAAAAATTTCTTTGATGTTTTAAAAATAATCAAGATTGACTTGTTGTCATTTAAAATATAATTGTTTCTTCAACTTAACAAACCTATTTTAATTTCAAAGGAGCAGTCGTTAGAAAATATATGGCGAAAAATTATTTAATAGCAACATACATATATAATCAGTTAATATAAGTTAATTTAATCATGTATAGTATTTATCCATATTTAGAATTGAACGAATGTTTAAGCAGCCCTTGTCAGAATAAAGGAACATGTATTAATCAATTCAATGGATACAAATGTCTCTGTCGGAAAGGTGACTCTGGATCATATTGTCAATTTAGTAAGTACTTATACATGTTATATGAAGACTATGGTGAATAAAGTTGTTCTAAGTAAAGAGCCTGATATTTAGTGCTTGTCTTTTTTTCTTTTTTTTTCGTTCAATGTTTTGTTCATAACTCAGGCCGTTAGTTTTCTCGTTTGAATTGTTTTAAATTTTTCCTTTCTGAAACTTTCATAGCTTGCTTTATGATATTTGTTTTTGCTCATTGTTGAAGGCCATACGATGACCTATAGCTGCTAACTTCTACGTTATTTAGTCTTTGATGGAGAGTTATCTTATTGGCAATCATATCACATCTTCTTATTTTTATATTTAGTAATAAATACAAGTAAATTATACATGTAACACATTCAATGTTAGTTTTCAGTACCAGCCATCCGGTGTTTCATTTTAAAGCCATGCAATATTCTCTTTTTTTGTATGCCTGCCAAGATATTAGCGTATTCCTACGCTTACCTGAAAGAGAAAATTGACCAACAGTGAATGCTTATATATTAATGTATTTATCTTAGAGATAGACAAAAAACAGCCAGAAACCCGCTATCGGTTAATGTGGAATCACTTGATATGATAGGTGAACGTATTTTGTCATAAAAGTAATGAAGCTGGTGACACTGATTGAACAAGATATGGTATTCGTTTTCCGAACACATGAGTTAACCTCTGCTTTTTTTTCTTTTATGTTTAGGGGGGAGGGGAAGATTATGTCCCTCAATGCCGTGTTTTCTTTGTAGTTTTGTTTCTTAGTAGTTCTAAGTTTTGTTTGTTACTCTGGTTTTGTTTTCTTGGTCATTATGATTGGTTTTTTTTTTCGTTTCGTTGACATATCAGTATCACTCTTTGTTGAAACAATCAATAAACGATGCATGGAATATAACTAACATTGCACGATGCCCATCTAAATTTGAAGCCTATTTCGAATAAAAAGTATCTCTCGTTAAACCAAATAGTGTTGAGCAGTAGTATAACAGGACAACGACTAATAATACCCCAAACCACCAACATCATATTGAAGGGGGAAAATATACAATTAAAAAAACTTAAGAAATATGTTAATGACACATTAAGATCGGCATAATGTGTGTATTTAATACTAAACCACTGACAACGCTTTATTAAAATACAAAACTAATGAGTATAAATTACACTGCCACTTAATCATGTAACATGCTATGTTATTACATTTATTACATCAATATACTATGCATCTGTGGAAAGGCATTACATAAGATTTTTGTTTCAAGGATCTAAAGTATCGGTTCCTCCAACTATAATCATACCAACTGATAGAACTTTGAAAGAGGGAACACCTCTAGCCGAGATATCGTGTCTTGCAGAAGGAATTCCCCCTCCGGATATAAAATGGAGAGCCGTAAACGTATGTACAATTCAAAGCAATCATCATATTTTGTAAATATACATATAACAGTATTAAGCGTCGCCTATTGCTCAAACGTTTCATACATTTTTTGTTGTTTTTGAATACCTCTATATATCTTTTTTTTAACGAACAACCTCATCGTTTAAGTTCGCTTGATGAAAAATCTAAAATTCAACTATCTAAAGAGAAAAATTGTCAGAAACAGTACAGAATGAGTGCTTATCTGTATGCATACATCTAGTTATTTACCCGTATTTTTGTCCATTTAATTGATACGCGTAATTGAAAATTACACTTTATAAATCGTGTGCGTCCGATTGGATTTTCTGGATTTACATTCATCATGGCCTTCATTCTGTTCGAACGCACCAAATATATAGAGAGTTATTTTCACTATCTAAACTATCAGGTTTGGTTAGCTCATAATAGCTTCAGATACTAGTATTGTATCTATTAAAAGAAGGGGAAATGTTTCAAATTGACTTAATTTAATCTCTCAATCGATCTGACTGTCTTTATATACTATTTACCGATCCAGTGCATATCTATATAGATTGATTGATAAATCAAACATTCAACTTACAAAGCTAGTATATCTATACATATAATATATAGCAACAATTATTTGTAGTGTTTTGTTGGCTTATGTTTCTCACTTCACATCTTTAAAATTTGATCAAGTTTGTTCATCTTTGACTTTATTGCTATCTTGGCAAATCTCCCTTTTTATCGACAAATATATACAATTATCGGGGTTTTTTGTCCTTCTTCCTGGTATCCGCACATTTTTTTGACGGTTTTTCAAATCTATTCCAGGCAAACTTGCAGAGAAACACACAACAGATAGCCCATTATTTAATAATACAAAATGTGACATTGGCTGATGGTGGATATTATATGTGTATAGCAACAAACCGAGCCGGGACTGATATAAAAGCTGTCCATGTACATGTTATTGGTATGTTGTTGGTTCTTTTTAAACTTTATAATCTACGCATCATTATATTCCGTAAATTTCTTTGATTATTAGCATATTTATGTTCAAACAAACATTTGCATTTTCTGGGTCGTTCCTTTTCTTTGGTAAATATTTTGTCATTTTTTTATTTATCTTAAAGCAGCATATCTTATTTAGCAGTATGTTTTTGTTATTTCAATACCAAGGTGTGACTCTTTAGAAATACTGTTTCAGTTATCTAGTTGTATTGATAATAATGCTTATATTTGGGAGGAATCAACTTATTATATTATAATATGTTATTTACATGTACTTTGTCACAAAAGTAACTTGCCCTTGAGTGTATTTTTTTCTGTTTTACAGTAGGATGTATTTTCTGTTTTACAGTAGGATTTATTTTCTGTTTTACAGTAGGATGTATTTTCTGTTTTACAGTAGGATGTATTTTCTGTTTTACAGTAGGATGTATTTTCCACTTATGCTGTTTCTTAAAACTTGTTCACATACTAGAGTCGTGATATGTGTGAATGAATGTTTTCCTTTGTCAAAGTAGCAAATTTTGGTGTCCGTCTAAATTGGACGATACCCAATTACTTGGAGTATACATGAAGATTTACTGGGATTTCTAAAACTATTGTGGTTATGGACGACGATCGCAAATCCAAATTTGTCACAACTTTGTGAGAAAGTTTGAAAACAAACCTTGTGGAACAGCTTCTTCTTTAGAATGTCTTCATCAGTGAAAGAACAGATGCAGGGATAATGATGATAATTTGTGAATTTGGTTATCATGGTTATGATTAAAAATCCAAAATCCTGTCAATACTTATCAGTTGCAATAGAGTTTAATTTACCAGTTTTTTGAAAGCATGATCTTGATCTTTTTCTTCAATAATTAGTCGATTAATACTATTTTGGATATAATTGTACGGTCCATCTTCCCGTAATAATTGGGCGTTATTTCGGTTGTGCTCGTTGTATAAACACACAGTCAAGACCAGTCTGATTTGAGACTTAAAATCATAATCCTCTTATTTTGAGAGCTCTATGAACTCTATACGTTTCGGAACACTTTCAACATCTATTAATTATGAATTATAAGATTTATGTGTACGAGCTTAAGAAACAGGTTGAAGAGCGATGCTCGCCGAGCTGTTCTTCTGTTTCGTAGCGAGTTTGTTATTGTGCTGTTTTGTGAACTTGCCTTTTCCTTTGTGACTGAATGACTTCTTCGGCATAAGATGTAAGACTTCATCTTACTCTCTTTACTTACTTAGATTGTTTTCTTTTTAACTTCAGCAAAACATACATTGCATGTAGCCCCAGTGATTACAGCTCCTTCTGAGGTGACAGTGTTTTATTATACAGAAGCTAAATTAGTTTGCAACGTTACAGGATATCCAACCCCTGATGTAAAATGGCTATACAATCATGTATGTAAAATTTGTTTTAATGTTATAAACCATATCTGACTGACACACACTGATAAGGCTTATGTAAAATTACCAATGCGATAAATGTCCATCAGAGACCACAAAAACGTCATCATACGGCCTTCTCTAATGAACACTCATAGTTGCCATGATCTTATCAACCTCATACATCGGTAAAATATACCAGACTTTTAATTTGTTTCGCGAGTATAATCTGTTCACGACGAAGCATGCTAATGAAAACCGTTTATCTAAAATTGCAGATCCCTCCAACCTGATGTATTTCCCCAAACAATTAGCAAGACCTCGACTCGACATCCCCGGTATTTCAATCGTCATATCATTACTGTTTATCGTACAATTGACGCAGATCCGTTTTAGCTTACAACAAACACTACATTTGTATTTACCTATAATATCAATCTAAAGATCATACATTGTTGGCGTAAGTACATCTACAAATAATAAGCATACGTTTTACAAGAAATTAGAATCCTGTTTTTGAAAAGAGGTCTGCATTACAGGACAAAAATGATTCATATACACGAACGTTTATTTTTTTATAATTTAGCAATATAGTTTATTATCACATCATTATTGGTTTCGAATAAATACAAGCAACATATTGCAGGAAGACTACAATGCTACTGGTGACACCTTAATTATATCGACAGTTACAAATGCCACTATCGGACTCTACACTTGTATTGCAACAAACGATGCTGGTACAAGTCAAGCAAAAATAATACTTAAGGTCACCTATGGTAAGAACGTCTGTGTAAAGCTCGTAACGTTTGATTTGAATGAATAATCTGTTCCGAATGAAAGTATGAATCCAACACGTATGACATTAAACTGGGATGTGCAGATGTTACATGTTACTTTTGAATTGTTCAAAATGGGGTCCGTTTCCATTGAAACAGTAACAACTGCTCTTAACTTCCTGAAAATATGCAGAAACTTGAGTTGTGATGCATATCTGTGTATTAAATCTTTAATGGCTTCAAAGTGGATGTCGTTGCTATTGCTCGCAATTACAATTCTAGTTTAAATATGTTACTATTGCAAAATTAAAGTGTATTTACTTGATTCAGTCCGTTTTTTTCTATTTCTCAAACTTCCACAAATAATCGTTGAACTTATATCACACTAGGAATCAGTGATATAAATCTATATACTTTGTATTTAGACAATAAACTTGGAAAAGCAAGTGTAATACTACTTCTTGTTGTGTGATTTATTATAAATTTATGTAATGAAACATTTGATTTCACGAATGAAAGATGTCTTGAAATGATTATATCCGATATTGTTCCTGGATAGGAAGCAATCAACACTTGTATCCGTGAAGTATAATTTTTCTGTAACTATTATACTGTGATCAAGTACAAGTAAACATCGAACAATCACCTTTATCATGTTTCTAGAAATGTAAAAAAAAAACAAATCAGTTGTATATGCAAAATGTTGAAAACTTGATTGTTTAATTGAGAGAAAAAAATACACAAACACACAAATCGACCTGTTCGTGATAACGTGAACACTTTTATTTTTTTAAAGCATCCCCATGTTGTTTTTTCAAAGAAAAGTGTTTAAGTAATGATCATACATAATACATTGTAAAACATAGCATATACCTTGTTGATTGCTAAATGATCATGATTTTAAGTTAACCACCAAAGCATTCTTTTCTAATTATACATTTTTCTCTTGGTTCTTTAAATAACATTATGTTTATTTGAATATTGTTTCGTTATTTCACATAAAATTGTATGAAGTTTCTGATAAACTGATACATTTTTCTATATTATTTTTATAAGATGCACCTACTATAGTGTCTCCACCACTGCCATCTATTAGTCAACCTGGTGATTCTCACAATTATACATGTCTATCTACTGGACACCCTCCTCCGATTATTACATGGAAGTTCAATTCGGTAAGAAGTATCCAGTACTCATGTAGCGTCTTCAAAACGGTACTATAATCGTATACCAGATTAATTTTTTTACCCCAAAAAAATTAAAAAAAACAATAGGTTGAAAAAGGTTGTGTTTTTTAAATCAAGTTCCGAAATTTTTTGAACAAATCTCGATTATCGAATTGATTTTGAAGATCTATTCTCTATTACATTATTTCATTCCTCTTTCAAACATGATCTATAAGGTACTAATGGCAATGTTTCACTTTGAGAATTAAGAGTTTTCAAGTTTCATTCATTATTTAACAATTTTCTGCGAAAACCTTAAAGAAGACACTGTAGAAACCAAAGGGACAATCCAAATTGAAAACATGTAAAAGAGAAACCCACAAAAATATGACAAAAAATGAAAAACGACTAAAAGATAAACAAAAGTCTACAAGAAACTTCAAAAATTAGATAACAAAAACTCCAAGGAAAATTAAAAAAAACGGAAAGTCCCTTATCAAATGGCAAAATCAAAAGCTCAAACGCATCAAACGAATGTAAAACACCTTTCATATTCCTGACTTGGTACTGGCATTTCCTCGTGTTACAAACGGTCAATTAAACTGCTAGCTTAAAGGTAAGTAGATTCTCTTCCGCATATGGTAAGTATCATTTGATGATATCATAATAAAGAAACGAGGACAGGTGTTTGGCTATGACAAGCGGTGAACCTTAAATGGTTAACAAAGAACAGCGACAAACAAGAACATATCTAGAAATAAACACATTTGGCGAAAACAAATATACGAATGGACAAACACCATTTCACAAAATGTTACACTTGAAAAGTGGAACCCTAACAAAAGTGACTGATAAAAAGTATCAGTTTATTATTCATCAGAGCTAATCCATACGTATACGTATAACATTGCAATTTAAGTTTTGAAAAATATATATATATACGATTTCTATACGCATAACACGTGTTTCTGTGATAACCTTAAACAGGTAGGACCAAAACCAACAATGTTTACTGTATTATATGCTTCAGAGCATAAACACCGAAATGAACTGACCAAATCGTCTCAGATCAATTTTGCATTAAAAGTTGAAACAACAGTTTTAGAACAGCTACATCATTTACAAAATGTTATAAAAAAAATGATTGAATCATAACACCATTTACAAACTTGTCTATTGTGTTGAAAACTGTATGCTACCTTCTAGTTACATTTTAGTTGGTTTTTTCTTTATGTCGTTGGGTTGCTGAATCTTATTGACGTAAAGCCCACGTCTCCTTCAATTTCGAACTTTATTTGATCTTTGAAACTTTTTGATTAGAGCGTCACTGATAAGTCTTTTATTGGCTTCAAATTTAGTTGTCCTTTTTTAGGCTATGTCAGGGGGAACAATGGACAGATATCATCAAAACCAAATGATGGTAGATATATCCATAGCAAATCAGGATAAAGTTAATATTCTACTATTGCAATTCATGATATAATTAACAATTTACTATAGATTCTGCATTACAGTAAAAATGAATATATATTTTTGCAGTTTTTTCATCAGTCATCGAGTTTACCACGCCATGTAAAGTTTGACAATGGTACAATTTTGCAGTTGGTCAACATGCAGGCATCTGGTTTACTATCGTGTACAGCTACAAATGAGTTTGGTACAGAGTCAGCATCAGCACATGTTATTGTTGAGCAATGTATGTTTTTAATTTCATCATACAGTTAAAGAAAGTCAAAATATTCCAAGAGGATAATCAAATTCATAAGCTGACAATGCAATGGTCAAAAACAAAAGAGGACCAAAAGATAAATAGTATACAAAACACAATATACAAAAAAAACTGGAGTTGATCAGAGGTGCTTATCCTGCTTCACATATGATTGAGACTACTCCCATGCATGTCACTATTAGAGATTACTCGAGACAGGAAACTTCATTTTTTTTAACAAACAAAAACATATGGCATGATAGGCAAGTCATCATTTGCTCCTGAATATTAAGCATAATTTACCTTCGATAAGGCATATTTCTTAATTTTTAATGTCAAAAAACAACTGTTTCGTAATTCGTGGTCATACATTTAGCTTACTCTACCGGTCTAGCTTTGTTTGGACAATTACTTCGGGTAATTTCTCTTGGTTTGTATACACGGACTTCAAATTATAGGAATATGTATGTATTATCTAAGGGAAAGAAAAGCCTTTCCCTTATATGATACATTGAAAATTTTCAGCATGCGAGATATTTTGGATTGACAACCATGATAAGTATATCAATTTGACTAATTGTGTCAAAGTGTTAGGTAACAGTAAATAAAGGTGTCATTCAAATAGTTCATCCAAGAAATAAGGTTTCCGTTTATCTTCTGGCTATAATGGATGTATAAATGAATAGACTTATCGTTTCTTTTTCTACAAAACGCGGCAGGAAAAGTCCTGCGTGCGATAAATTCGTTATACGGTTCACGAATGACCCCCTACGGACCATAGAGGGTGAGAAAATACATAGGATATTCGGCCTTCGGCCTCAACCCTTATGGATTTTATTAACCCTCTATGGATCCGTAGGGGGTCAGTAGCGAACCATATAACTTATAATGTTCGGTCAAACTGGGGCGTTGGTTCGGATGCCCTCGTGCAGGAAGATTGTAAAACTTTCTGTAGATAAATAACCCTTCATGTATGTGGTCAATTACAATTTCAATCCCCCTTTTCTAATCCAACATACTTTCAGTTATCACTGGCAGTTGACATTCCCTTCCTTCATGATGTTCTATCAACTTTGCTGGACCTACCAATTGTATTTATTGCTAACTCTTCAAGTTGAATGCCCATGAAATGTTTACCATTGTCCTGTAGTTTTAAGCATTGATTTTAAGAAACACGAAAATTTAAAGGAAATTTTTAAAATTATTTTGTTTTTCAGCAACAGATGTCATTGGTTAAGATAACGGTTACGTGTCAACTAATGGTCTACTAAAGATATTCTATCATCGTACCTACGTGTTTTGAAAATCCGATTCAGATCTGGTCTTCTTCACAAAAGATGCTCTAATGTTTAGATATCCATTATTATGTGCATGCATGTGCTTTATTTTTTTTTTCAATAAAAAACTTAAAGTTGATGATGAATTTTGAATTAAACTTATTATTTAATATTAACATAACCAACAACAGTAAGGCAAAGTAAAGTCTTTTACAGATCGTGTGAGAAATTAACAACAGAAATATTTCATATATTCTTTTTGTTAAAATATATATATTATCACGATGCTCTTACAACGTGTTGTGTTAGAGGTTCTTTAAAGTTGAAAACACAAACTTGCCATTTCTGCCTTGATATTTATATGTGTTTACGTTTTAGAAGAATAGAAAAGATTGATTATTTATTGAAAAATCATGTGCTACACATCAGTACACAAATTTTAAAAAACCATTTTAGGAATAATTCCAAAGGAGATAATATACTTATAAAATATTTTAAAGAACATAGTTAAACTATCTCGCCTTTTTCCATTAAAAATATAAACACAAACCAATTTGCTTTTTTAATTGAAAAATAAAAAAAAAACATTTTGAATGTTAGCTAATACTATGTTGGACCTTCTGTTTAGTACATTCTAGAACTCGAAAGATGCCTTTTTTCATTTGAATACGCTATGATATTAGTACACACATTGAGTCTTGAATTCAAAGTAAGTTTTTGAATTTTTCTAAATGAAGACAGAATTGTCAATTTATTTACAACTAGGTGGAACTGTTTCATTGGATTAGAATTAATGTCTCTCTAGCACCTGTAGAAGTCACTCTAGTTAACAAAAAGGCCAATCAAATACACAAAAGACAAACATGCAATGTTTATATAAAAATTAACAAACATAATTTGTCTCCAAATGAAGGACAGCAAAAAGTTAGGGGAAGCTAAACCTGAACTTGTTATATCTTTAAACATACAGCCATACCAAAAACCAGTCAACGATGACTTCTTTTTTCATATTAAGTAGAACTTTATATAACATATATGCCACTGTCGTCATCCTTCACCTGATCATTATAAAATGTGGAGCTACTTTTACTCTTCATTAAATATAAAGATGAGAGAAGGAACTCCGCCTCATTGATAAGTATCCTAGGTAAAATTCAGGCTCGCCTTACTAACATTTATCCAAGTCTTACAGAGTTAGGTCAAAAGAAAATACATTTACAGCAACAAAATATGGAGGCTATCTTTATGCACAGTTAGCTCATCTGATCTGAAAAAAGAAATTAACAGAAAAATTTTGTAGATTAAAACTCATCTTAGTCATAATCAAACGGCTTCTATAGTTTCAGTCATTTTGAGCTGTTCTCAAAAGACTTCGAAATTTCTACACTATGACCGATGTGTATGGCTTAAATACTTGTGCCAGTTCTGACCTTCAGATTAGTTGAGGTATAAAGAATTAATTCGGACCGCTAAGAAAGAATATTACTTACCTTGAACAAAATAGTTCCTACGCATAGCAGTTTCTAATGTGAAATTTTTGTATAATATTGGTATCAAATGATTGATTCAGGACTTGTGATCACTGTAGAACTCTTGTTAACAGTTTCATTCCAACAATAAAACAAATATATGAAATTAAGACAGGAACGCATATTTGTCTTCTTGCTAAGATCAGAAGTACATGTTTTTGTGCTACCAAAATTCCGGAAACTAAATGCTCTAATATGCAATAAAAGGTTTAATGCCAACACAGGTAATTGTATAATTTGGACATGAAACTTTGTTATAAATTAAGACAAAATAGCTAAGAATTCTTGAAGTTGCAGAAGATAGCATAGAAAGCAACCAGGCTATGATAAAGTGGAGATTAAAGGCAGATGGAACAGTTTAGATCATGTATGTTATATAATAGTTCTGAGGGGTTATAAATGATCTAAACTTTGCGAAAAAAAGGTTATACATCAAACTTTACAGGAACAATTTGCATAGACACATGGAAATACTTTACAATAAACGTATATAAATTTACAATATGAAATTATTCCGATAAACAGTACAGATTTGTTTTCACTTTACAAAATCAGTTTTAGGCTTTGTCTTGAGCACACACATTGTATTTCTCACACATATAAGACATGCCACCGGGCTTAACACGTTGCAGTGCTTTCATCAGTGTAAACACCATCGGAGCTCCACTTGTTGTTTTCCATTTGTGTAATATATAGTCAATGTGACTGTACATATCTTTTGGATAATTGTACATGCATGGCTGCCTCTACATCCTCTACCATAGGTCCCAACTCAATTCCAAGGTGTATAACTCAATTTCCAATGTATGTTGGTAGAGATCTCTTATAACGTCATTCAAAACCGGGCTTTGTAGGCAACTTTCAGATGTTTCTTAAATAATAATTTTACTTACAATTTAAACTTTTTACCTATACTAGTCATCAAAAGAAATGATACACGGCAATGTATTTTCCATATATAATGAAATAAGATACACTGCACCAAGTTAGATAATTGCCCAATTGATTTAATATTAACAGAGTGTTATTTTCTTAAAAAAACGATTTAAGGCAAATATGCGAATTTTATTTTTAAATTTTTGTTATTTCTAAAATCGTATTTTTACTAAAAAATTCAGAAATCGAGTTTATAACTTTTACTTAAACATGGTTTGCTTAAAAGTTTAAAACCCTTCGCAGATATTTGAATACTTTACTCTCATCTTCGAAATTAAGTGCCGACTTTTGTCGTCATTTTCCTCAAAATAAATTTGACCACTGTGTTCAATAACACGGTATTTTCTCACTTTCCAATTCTTTTAATCATATGGAATTGTTTTGCAAATGAATGTTTTTCATTGGATAATTTAACAGTTTTTCCTATTTACTATATTAAATGATAAATTGGAGTTCAAACTAGTGTATCGTTACTTTTGTTGACTACTATATAATTACTTTTTTTTTTTTTCGTCGTCATATTCAATACTCTCAACTGCATATATAATTTTCAATATATTTTCATCGGATTTTTAAATACAGAATGTCATTACAAACTCATGTTTATCTACATATTGGTCAACATTTGATATCATAAGACTGCTGTCATTTATCAAATATTTTAATTTTTCAACAAAACATTCAAAACAAAAAAGTTTTTTTATTTTAATGCGGCAATTTTCTTTAATGCAAATCAATCATATAACTAAATGTTTTGCTTTATTGGTGTTTACCTTACGCCCAGTGGGAAATATTTTATGCATGTCAGGACGAGAACGAGGTAACAATGAATACAATAGGTGGGTTCGATCACTTATGCCGACTTGTAAGATGGACAGAAAATTTGAATTGCCACCGCGAAATGAGAGTATATTGCTGCTCACAAGGAAGCTATTAAGCCAAGAGTTCCAAATGGTGAAGTTGAAATCATCCCTTCGTAGTAAATGTTACGGACGCCATCACGAGTTGGTTGACCGTTATGGAATAACCGTTTCACAGATGATATCAGATATGTTCCTTATGTCGTAACTACAATACCCTTCCCTTTTCACGAATGTGACTTAGCGAATTAGACTATTTACCGGATTTGTAATAACATAAGCAACACGACGGGTGTCACATGTGGAGCAGGATCTGCTTACCCTTCCGGAGCACCTGAGATCACCCCCAGTTTTTGGTGGGGTTCGTGTTGCTTAGTCTTTAGTTTTCTATGTTGTGTCATCTGTACTATTATTTGTCTGTTTGTCTTTTTATTTTTGACCATGGCGTTGTCAGTTTGTTTTCGATCTATGAGTTTGACTGTCCCTCTGGTATCTTTCGTCTCTCTTTTGAATAAGGTCAGAAATCTAAACTTGCAACGAGCTCCTACGGACCCGTATAAAGTTGCTGCAAGGGTTCGTGGCGTGAAGTGTGTTTAGCACTCTTTATACATGATGTCAATTAGTTTTACATTGTTATATGTCCTATTTTGAAAAACAAATGGAGATAGATAAAATTGAGAATGGAAATGGGGAATGTGTCAAAGAGACAACCCGACCAAAGAGCAGAAAACAGCCGAAGGCCACCAATGGGTCTTCAATACAGCGAGAAAATCTCGCATCCGGAAGCGTGCTTCAGCTGGAAACAAAAATATGTACTAGTTCAGTGATAATGGACATCATACTAAACTCTGAAATATATAAAAGAAACAAAAATTAAAAATCATACAAGACTAAGAAATGCCAGAGGCTCCTGACTTGGGACAGGCGCAAAAATACGGCGGGGCTATATATTTGATACCAAGGTGCAATGGTATATCTCCATTTCTATCTATAAAATGATTTTGCTACTTTCTACGATTTTTTGTTCAGAACTAGACTGTACTATCTCTACACTTCCAATGAATTATAGTTGCTTATTTATCTAGTTAAACACCAGAAGTTCAAAGACAAATTGTTTGATAGTATTGATGTCCACTTTTGCCAAGTATTTTTTTCTGTAAAATATTTGTTATTATATATAGTTATCTAATTTGAACTATGATGAAATTATGTGCATGTTTGAACTCAATCTATATTTTTTAACAGTGTGAGTCTAAATATCAACTTGATCAGTAGTTATTGCAGGACATTGTAAAACATTCTTTGTTTATATGTTATTGGTTTATCTTTTGTGTTCAAACTTTATGCCAACCGGAGGTGAATGACCATTATGGAATATATGTTTCAAAGATGACAACGGATATGTTCCTACTGTTGTAACCACAATCATGTCCTTTATTCTTCGAATGTGACCTACCAAAATAGACTTATCACCGGTTTTTACTAGTATGAACAACACGACGGGTGCCACATGTGTGACATGATCTGCTTTCCTGGAGCACCTGAGATCACCCCTTTTCTGTTAGGGTTAATGTTGCTCTAGTTTTAGTTTTCTATGTTGTGTTTTGTGTACTTTGTTTTAAAATTTACAGCTCATTTCTTGTCGAGTTTCAAACGGTATTGAAAGTTATGAATTTATTAATATAAACTTGATATTTTGTTTGTCGTTGATGCTTAATTTGGCTTTATGTACGTTTAAAAAATAGCCATATAAATCTTAAAACGAATTTGTCTTTCGAAGTTTTTAGTTTTCCCATGGCATTTTCAGTTTGTTATTATACTCAAGAGTTTGAATATTCTTTTTGTATTTTTCACTTTTTTTTCACTGAAATACTGATCTCTGGTACTAGCCTATTAGGTCACTACAGGGTTTCAAAATTACAACTTTCCGTATTTTTCAAGTCAAACACACACTCTTTGGGAATCCTTGTCAATTTCCTACTCAAATTATTTTCCCATATGGGCTTAGATTTAAATCTGTTGTCCGTATCTTTAACGCGCTTGATTGCCCAACGTTGATGAATTAATGCACATCAAATGCACAGCGGCGTGTCAAGTTAAAAGTAGTATTTCTATAATCATTGGTACTGGAACACTTTCTGTATCTCTGTACAAACTTTATCTGAAGCTATTCTCTGTACAATTTACTCATTGGAATTCGTTTTAAGATTTATATGGCTATTTTTTAAACGTACATAAAGCCAAGTTAAGCATCAACGACAAACAAAATATCAAGTTTATATTAATAAATTCATAACGTTCAATACCGTTTGAAACTCGACAAGAAATGAGCTGTAAATTTTAAAACAACCCGGATGTTCTGTTCTAGGACGGCTTTGTCAGGCTTGTTTGACCTGCCACGTTCTGTGTCTATCTCCCGATTTTCAAAGACCATAACTCAGGAACTTCAAAAGCGAAAGTCAATATTAAACGTGACGTCTATTTATTTGATCAGTTGAACATATCGAACATGACCTACATTTTGTCATCAATAACAATATAATATATATTATTATGTATGGAAAGCATTAGTTGTGAACATTTCACAAGTTGTCTAATGGTAACATGCCTGCAAGCCCGCCGCCCGCCCTTTGATCATTACAGTTATTGAATAAACACGTGTTCAGCATTACTTTATTTGCTTTTACCTATTTTACGCATTAACAAATCTGGTATAGCAACGTTTTCCAGAAAGCCTATGTTCAAAGTTTAGAATTTAATTTTATTTATCTAAGTTTTATAGTAGATTTTGGAAATGTACACTTTCATTTAATGCTGAATTTAAACCAAACTCTGCTTATCCTTCCGGACACATGAGTTCACACCTTCTTTTTGATGATGTTGCTCAGTCTTTAGTTGTCTATGTTGTGTATTTTGGACTGTTGTTTGTCTTTAAATCGATTATCTTTTCTTCCAGAGCATCGTTAGTTTTTTTTTAATTATGAACTTGAATATCCTTTAAGTATCTTTCTCCTCTCTTTTTCAAATTGCTTTCATAAAATTAGTCTTATTTCAGAATAGCACATACATTATGTTAGGGAGGAGGAATTACTTTTATTAAGTCTTCGTTGAATCGTAGATGTTTGCCTTCTTGGTCACTTATTTATAGAGTAATATAATTGAAAGTCTATAGTGTAGATAGTGATATTAACCTGTGAAAATGGTAATGATGATAATGAAAGTAATTAGTCTTTATACATGTTATAAATAAACACTAAAAATTACGGTCATTATGTCATCTACATATCGCCCGGTAAACTCATGTCCATCGCTTCACCTTGTGCCAAGTATATTGTTTTAGTCATACAACTCCAACCTTTAGTAACAATGTTGTGTGTAACACCGCACTTAAGTAATATCAAAATTGAACAAATGCCAATGAATATTTGGCTAGAGGTTACATGCTAGTATACCGAAAATTAATTTCAGGTGTCTTCATAAAAAAATTCGGACCATATACCGGCATAACAATGTTTTACATAAGTGAACTTGGTAAGTAGAGAATTTTTCTCCTTTATCCACATGAGGAGAAGGATCTGATTACCCTTCCGAAGCTCACGGGTTGTGTTGCTCAGTTTCTAGCTTATTGTTATGTTGTGTTTTGAAGACTGTCTGTCATTTTGGTTTTTTTTTCTCGGCTTTTACTATGGCAGTGTCAGTTCGTGTTATTATATACATGTTTTTGACACAAGGTTTCGTTTAATGTCAGAATGTGGCCATTCCAAAAAGGAAACATGTAAAATACATAAGTGAAGGTACGATGGACAATACGGCAATGTTTTGGTTCCTTAAATCCAAAATGAAAAAGCATGTTTCAGATGTTTATAATATATTAATCTGCTATAAATAGGAATATATTTGTCTAAAGTCTGCTATACACATTTTCCCTTGCATTTTATTAAAATTAGTGAAAACTGTCAAAAGGATCTCATTATTATTGTGAATATAACGGTACGCAAACATAATTATTCAATCAACAATTTATACTTTAAAAAAAAACGTCATTACAAATTGAATATAAAACAGAAGTGCGTGAAGCTGTTATTAATCGAACAACTTTTCAGTGTCAATTTGAATGTTCGTTTCAGTCATCTTCATAAGTTCACTTGACGTCGCGTCCTCGGATACTTCCCTCCTCAGACAAGTATATAAATACTTTGAATCAATTGTTTGTTGTCTTCCGCCTATAATTATAAAATATCTTTTAGTCATTGACAAATAACGTTTTTACATTTTCATAATTTCATAAATTATTATGATACTAGTTAAAGTTGAATTACAAATTAGAAGACTATAAATATAATGATGTGGTCTTATATCATTTCCATAACAACATATGACAATATATTCGTTTACTTTATAGGAACAAAGTCGCGTTTTGTTTTGGAAGACCGTGCTATTCATACAGTTGTGTATACACCTTTGTCAGTTCCACATAAAATACGATAAGTGTTGCAAATTGTAATTGATTATCTGAAGTGGAAGAGATGTGGTATAATAATCATTGACATTACATAAGATTCCGATATAAGTACCATATCAATCCGCTGAACTGTTAGGTGCTGTTCCGTGTCAGACTCAATATTGGCAATGCAAAACAAAAACAGATATCTCTAGAAAAATACGTTAATAAGTATAAATTTTGGTTAGCAAAATTGTAGAATATAGGGATTATTTACAATATGATAACAAATTCAATCGCATTATTGAAAAATACCCTTTTGTCGAGAGGTTCTTAAACCCTTGCCGCTTGGCATGTTCATTTTCATTTTATATTTTTTTTGAAATGGAGGTAATATTATACAAACATTTATAGTACATACCAGTTATGATACTAACAATTATTCCAATACAAACACAGATAACAACACTAATGGGGGTATACCAGACATACGATATTTTGTAAATCCATAATATATCAGGTCTGAAAAGAAAGAAAAAAGAAAAGAACAATAAGTTTTTATTCAATTGATAATATTCGGTTAAAGATTTAATATTCAGATCGATGCAATATAGTGTTCATGAATCATACCAAGATATTATTCTAGAGATCTAAAATGACTTGTTTTTTTAAATCCTTTTATCCCATTTTAATTCTGTCAAAATTTTAAAATACTAATTGCATTTAATTCAATACTGTTGTGATCAATCAAGTTACTACCAACAGTCTGTGCACCCTACGGAAATGAAATTCGAAGCATTATTGTAATTGCACTACGCTATACTAGTAAATTGATGGTATTTGTTCTTATGTTTTGAATAAACTGCAGGTCTAACAAGTATAAGTTCATTAAGTAAACAACTTGCTTTAACAGAAACTTCACAAGATCAGAACGTGTTTCAATGAAATGTAACAAGAAGCAGTCATTAGCGATGTTTTCGTTTTTCATGCCTCCACTTACACCCTTATAAATATTTGATTTAAAACTATTTGGCATTTTTGTAAATATGAAGATTAAATATGTTCATACATTTGTAAAGGAACTGTCGTAGAACTAGTTCCGTTAGTGATAGTAATGGTCTGCAATAACCCTGTTGTATTTCCACAGTTATAAACCGGCCCAAGTTGAAGAAAAGGCGATCTTTTCTTTTCAAATACAGCACCAAAAGCAATCCATAGGACAACGGAAAACGATACTAACCATCCTACCAAAGCACCCTAAAAAATACAATGTTTTAGAACGTTTGGCAAATTTGTTTAGCCACCTCGCGTTGACGATATAATGCCAACTTTTTAATTTCACTCCCCTTACAGTATAAAATGAGACTATGAATCCCAATTAAATATGATATAACAGAAAATGCATTGTCGTCACAAAGAAGTGTTATTCGCAACAACCAAACTTAAATTTTGTATAGAAAGCTTCGAAGAAATGTTGGAGTTTGGAATAAGTTAACTTGAAAATGTGAATTGATTAATGACACTTTGCTTGCAGCGTCTATTGAATTAAATACTGGATACAGCTCTGTTATTACATATTTCATTCTCCTTTTGAAAAAAAGCTTGCTTTTCTAATCTTTGTATCTTTCAGAGCTAACCTGTTAAATAAAACATTTCTACATCTACATGAAACGAACAGAAGAATTATATATACCTTGTAATTAGCACACCTAAATGTTGCTCCCAAAATAAACATCCCAACAACGGGTCCATTAATGCAACCAAACGTCGCCTGAGTCACTTGTAATATCGGTCCACCAGTGTGTAATATAATGTAAGCAATACCAATGGCTAAACCACCGTATAAAATCACTGTAATAAAAACAATTGGATACATATGGGAATGTCATGTGACAAATGAATATAATTCCTCCTCCCCCAAAGAAAACACCATGCCGTGTATCACAAAATATATGGCAAAAAAATATTTATGAAATGAAAACATTTTTAAGAATTTCAGTGATGAATAAAGAAAAACAACACACCTATGCTTTCATCGAGCATTTAGAACTGTATTTAACATCGACACGTGGTTAAGGGAGCACATAAGGGTTGAGATTACATAAAATACTTTAACACATTTGCATATACATGTGCCTTTTACGGTATCATGTCATTTCTTGATGTTGTTGTTGTTAGAAGAATTCGATATTTTGTTTTGTTTTGTTCTGTTTTTAATGGTTTGTTCCTCTTTCTTCTTTATAAGATTGCTTGTTTAAACTTAGAACGCCAGTGAAGTCTACGTTCCGCTATATAGATGATGTTCTCTCACTAAATAATACAAAATTTGGTGACTATGTTGAACGAATCTATCCCATCGAACTAGAGATAAAGGATACTACAAATACAGTTAAGTCTGCCTCATATCTTGAAATTGACAATGAGGGTCGGTTGAAAACAAAAACTTTACGACAAAAGAGATGATTTCAGCTTCCCAATTGTGAACTTTCCATTTCTATGTAGCAACATTCCAGCAGCGCCTGCATACGGAGTATATTTCTCCCAATTGATACGATATTCCCGGGCTTGTGTTTCCTATCATGATTTCCTTGATAGAGGATTGCTGCTCACAAGGAAGCTATTAAACCAAGAGTTCCAAATGGTGAAGTTGAAGTCATTCCTTCGTAAATTTTACGGACGCCATCACGAGTTGGTTGACCGTTATGGAATAACCGTTTCACAGATGATATCGGATATGTTCCTTAGGTCGTAACTACAATACACTCTCTTTTCACGAATGTGACTTACCAAATTAGACTATTTACCGGATTTGTAATAACATAAGCAACACGAAGGGTGCCACATGTGGAGTAGGATCTGCTTAACCTTCCGGAGCACCTGAGATCACTCCCAGTTTTTGGTGGGGTTCGTGTTGCTTAGTCTTTGGTTTTCTATGTTGTGTAATCTGTACTATTATTTGTCTGTTTGTCTTTTTATTTTTGGCCATGGCGTTGTCAGTTTGTTTTCGATCTACGAGTTTGACTGTCCCTCTGGTATCTTTCGTCCCTCTTTTATGTTTATTGGTTGTTAATTTTTTAAGATTTTTAATTGAGTAATATATTTGTATTCCACATCATTTATTCGGCATATGTAACCAAAATCAACATTTATTTAAGTACTGTGGATTCATTATTATTCATACCTAAGCATTTACCAATCAAAAGTGTCTTTCCATCAGACACTGTCGGGATAATTGGTTTCAGAAAATCTTCCCATGTAATTATTGGAAGGCTGTTCAATCCAGAAGAGAGAGTGCTAAACACGTTAAAGAAAAGTTGACATTGAGATAAACACAAACCAACGATATAGTCTTGCCAAAGGGATATATTGAATTTGTATATGTACTTGTAGTCGATGACAATTACAAATTAACAGACGACAGAAGGCTGATGACTTGTTATTTATATTTCCGTTATGATTTCCTATCCTATTGCTTTTTCAAAAACAATTTAAAAAAACTGTTTTAGTGTAATTCTATCAATATCCTAATCAATTCAGGAGAATCACATTTATATCTAGTATGTTAAACATAACTATTTCCACCAATTCCATAGATATGTTCCAAGCTTCTAAATAAAGGCAACAGTAGTATACCGGTGTTCAAAAGTCATAAATCGATTAAGGGAAAAAAATCTAAGACGCATGGTTTATTTCAGTTCTATTAAACATAAATGCATATAACTGCATAGAAGAAAATGACTATCACAAGTGCGTTACTTATTTGATATGCACTAGCTCTCGTGTTATACAATACCTTATTGTTGCACTGAACAGCGCAGCTAGAAATAATCCTGGAAGGCCTGGGACTTCTTCAAATATATTCATTACAAAGTATGGTAAAATCTACAAAATTACGTCATGCTATGGATAGGAGTGATGTAAAACACCAAATAAAGTATACTGATTAACATATTAGAGCGTGTTTTTTTTCAATGATGTTCAATGTTTGTGATCGGTAGGCGCATAAATACTCCATATCCTGAATCTTGCTGTATAGATACATTTGAGTGAGGTTCCAAAGGTGTCCTTTCTAAGTGGCTACGATGAAGGCTTAATCTAAGAAGACTATACGAATGCAGTATAGTCTTTTTAAGTGTTTTACTTCCGTTTTAAAATTATGTTTGACTATTTATTAAACGGCAGGACTTAATTCAATATTCAATAACATTTTGGACTCGGTTATACCTATGGTCAATCTCGGATATATCAGGCTTTTAAACATTTTCATTTGTTTTGGAAATTCAAAATAGGTTTTCATAAACTTTCGAGTCAGGAACTAAGGTCATTTGTTTTTTCCATTATGTATATTTGGTGTGTACTGCAGATCATTTATAGTTTATTTTAATTACATTCAAAAGAATTTCCCATGTTGATTGGGAGCATTGCCTATTAAATAAAGACTTGTGTTTTATCCTCTAGATTTTTTTTTCTATTTAGTTTTTTTTTTGTCGATGAGTAACGGTCTCACTGACATATACCACACATCTTCTTTTTCATATAGTCTATATTTATTATACCTGATTTGGACTTTTGATCATTTTGCTTTTTAATGGATCACATCCTCTTTCATAGAAGTAAGAAAATGCCATTAAACCAAGCGTACACGTCGAAGTCCAAAACACAATAAATCCAGGTATGGTGGATCTAACAGACCTGGTTTACACATCATATACATGGTATAAACATATTGCTATCAGTAATTATTTCAAAAGTGCTGTTTTATTTGCTTTCATTTAATTTGTGGGTTCTCACCAATAAAGAGCTACTCTGACCTAGCCCTAACCCTTAATATAACATTAACCTATTATCAAACCTACATGAAGCAATACAGCTTACCCGAAATATAATAACCTTAGCATCTAACAAAGCCCAACCTTTAACACACCCGTATTTATACTGTAGATGCACCCGGTCTTTTTGGAATTCGGTCGATTCCCATAGCTTTAACCTTTATTTGTATCTTCTTGATTGATTGGTGATATTTGTACATCGTTGAACTTCTGCAGACTCTAACGTTATCCGAACCATAACCTTAAACTGAACCTTAACTATAAGGTACAGGAATTCATAAAGTAAATGAAGACTATGTTAGTATCACCAATATAGGAACACTTGACAGTCCGTTGTGGTATTAAAGTACAAACACAAATTAAGGCATAATCACTTCATTTGCACTTAGACAATCCTGATGAATGTGTAGTAACACCTATCTTACCTCCTATACATTTCTAGGAACATCATTGGTTAAAAGCGACCGCGTGGAGACCGTGTATATTTCATATAGGAATAGAAGGCGTGGTTTATTTAAATACACGGTTAGTAGTGGTGTTACGTCCCTTTATAAAAACAACATGACTTTAAGACAAAATCTGAAACGCTTCGCCCGGACAACAGACGAAGAAATTGTAATGCAATATTGAAATAAATGCAGAAAAACATTAAAAGTTAACAAGTTGTTATTGTTGGCATTTGTTGTTGTATAGACCAATGGAAGTATAGGTTCTTTATATTAAAGACTTGATCACTTTGATAGGCCACTAGTCGAAATACCACTTGTGAAGATAGTCGGTAAGATAAATGCGTTACACAGTGTGATATTGACCTAATACGATATATATGGGGTCAGTAAATTCCATATGGGGTTCGAGCTTCGCTCTCAGCACATATTGAATTTACAGACCCCCATACATATCGTATTAGGTCACTAGCACACTATGTAACTAATAATAAATATCAAGCTAGTAAATAATGCCCCTATTAAATCAAGATTACCTTTTAGATATTGATGTATTCTTACATGACAAAATCCTTTGTACAATAAGTTGACTGTACCCAAGAGAAAAGAAGTGGAAGGCGTTTCCTATAACTAACCCCCACACTGTATGCCTAACAGTCGGATCGAAGCTTATTCTGAAAAGAAAAAACAATGATACATTGAAATTAGCAGGTGCTTGCACAAATTATATTACTGGATATACGTATTGATCTTATTAGTTTGAGACATATTTACTTTTATACTCACTCTGTAAAATCTATCCTTCCACTTTCTTTTGCAACTGTTAAGAAATTTAATTCTTTCAAAGACATCAGTCCCTGTAGTGTAAAATATAAGAAAAAAATAAATTCTGTCTTTACATATTATATTTGTGCATATGTCAATAAATTATAATGAGTCCTTTTTCAATGGCAAGTGATGTATGCCTAGCAGGGTGTATCCTGTTTGGAGTTCATGCGATTATCTTTCTTTGTTCATATTGATTGTAGCCATAAACTGTTGACACAGAGATAAGTATCACCTTTATGTAATTTTGATAGGATTATGCAAATGTTGAAATTACAATGTCGACACTACAACATGAAAAGTATGAACAAGTTTCACATATAATAACCAATGAAAAAGGGATCTGTGTTAAACAAAATCCATGAAAATGAAATGTGCTAATGCTATTAAAACTGCATAGCAAATCCTATTGACTTTCTATATATAAGTGGTTACTTTCCTAATCACACACATTAACATATATACTATTCAAAACATTTAAATTCAACACATTGAGGGGCTGAGCCAAGTAGGGAAATGAGATGTATCGATGAAAATACAACTGCATACTAAATATCATTGACTTACTATATAAATGGTTCCCCTTAAACTGACATAATCACAAAAAATACCTTGCTATTAGAAGTTCCCCTTAAATTGATTTTATAAAAAATTCAACACATTGTTGACCCTGCCCAATGAAACAGAACGCCTACGTTTTGCCTTCGCGACTTCGTCGAGCCGAGAAAAGGTGTATTGGCGAGATTTGATCATCAGTATGCCACTGTTGCCTCGTGTTTATTCTACACGAATACATCATCATATATGTGCATTTATCAAGCAAACGTTGATAGCAACGGCTGTACACAACTTGGAACACAGTTTTGAAAAAAGACATTGTTTTCCAATATGCTCATTTCTGTTCATCTTACATTTTTACCACTTAATTGCCAGATAAATTGATCTGGGTTTTTTTTTGTTGTTGTTAGGAAAAGCTTATTGATTTGTTTATTCTTAAACTGTTGACACAGATATGTGTCTCGTCTGTATATAAAATACATACTAGTATAATGCAAATGTTGAAATTATAATGAAATCACATTTCCACGTAAAGTATGCAAAAGTTTAGGTCGAATTACCATGACTACATGTAAGTGATCGATGAGATAATGTCCATTTAAATGGAATATATGCTAAATGTTTCTTAACTTTGAATCTTTTGTTGTTAGTCTGTTTGTCTTTTTCGTGTTTAGCCATGGCAAAGTCATTTTATTTTTGACTAATGAGTTTGCTTGTGCGTTTGGTATCTTTCGCCTCTCTTTTGCAAATATTACATGTTAAAGTGTTGCTATTCGTCTATAAGTCAGTGTGTTGACTTCGGGAACGGACAAAATATTTCCAAGCCGTTAATCTTTATCCTTTGAAACAGGTCAGTTTACTGTCGTCGGAAAAGGGCAAAGCTATATTCTATGGGTTACCGTTAATGAAAATCTATATTACAGATGAACACGGATAAGTTCCAAATGTCGTCACCACTATCTCGTCCCTTTTTCCTCTATTGTTGTATAACCGAATTTGTAGTTACCATTGGTAACATGACGGGTGACACAACACAATGTGCTTGTATGTCCGTAGTACTAGAGATTACCCCGGTTTTTGATGGGGTGTTTGTTGCTCCCTCTTGATGTTTCTATTTAGAGTATTGGGGACTTTGTTGTATTTTCTTTTTATTTTGCCATGGCATTGTCAGTTTTTCGTCGACTAGTGAATACAAAATATCCCATTAGTATCTTGTGCTTCTTTTGTATATATTCTTTCCTTTACCTTTATTAATATTGATAATAATCCGACTATTATGATACAAAACTGGAACACGTCCGCCCAAATTACAGCTCTGTATCCACCCTAAACATTATATAATACATATTTAAGATACAATTTGTATTACGCAATATACATATAGCTTATATCACACTTTAGTTAGTCGTTATCGTTGAATAATTTATACATTATACAACGCAATCATTACATGTATCACATTTTTCCTATATATATATACAACAAAGGTGAAGACAGTGTATGAGTTCCTTCATACCAAGCTTCAGTTTCCATTAATGTTTTAGTATATATATATTGCATTGGTCGCATTGTTCAATGCAGTTAATTCAGTACAACATAACCCTAAAACACTTATTTACTCAATTTACTAGTGTACAGAATAACTCCAAATATAAACGTACTCACTAAACGGCTTTACTTTTGAAATGTTCATACAATCACCATACTAGTGTTAACAAAATAACTAACAAAATGGTAATTGCACTGACTGTACTTAATGAACAAGTGTACATACAAACATAACAAATAGTAATGTACTCACTATACTATTGTACAAACAAACGTAACAAATAGTAATGTACTCACTATACTATTGTACAAACAAACGTAACAAATAGCAATGTACTCACGATACTATTGTACAAACAAACGTAACAAATAGCAATGTACTCACGATACTATTGTACAAACAAACGTAACAAATAGCAATGTACTCACGATACTATTGTACAAACAAACGTAACAAATAGCAATGTACTCACGATACTATCGTACAAACAAACGTAACAAATAGCAATGTACTTAATATACTATTGTACAAACAAACGTAACAAATAGCAATGTACTTACTATGTTATGGTACAAACAAACGTAACAAATAGCAATGTACCTTCCATGCTATTGTACAAACAAACGTAACAAATAGCAATGTAATCACTATATTATTGTACAAACAAACGTAACAAATAGCAATGTACTCACGATACTATCGTACAAACAAACGTAACAAATAGCAATGTACTTACTATACTATTGTACAAACAAACGTAACAAATATCAATGGACTAACTATACTATTGTACAAACAAACGTGACAAATTGCAATGTACTCACTATACTAGTGTACAAAATAACTCCAACTGCAACGACAACGAATGACCCCCAAATTGGAAAACCAGTAACTGGAAAAACAATTATGACGTTATATTTGTGTTCCTCAAAATGGTTATCTCATTTCTTGTAAGAAATTGTAAATGGATTTTTAATTCTCTAATTTTTATGCTTTTTTCACATTTCTCGATCGGTGTGAGAAAAATATTTCTCATCTCTAGAGACTACTTTGTTCTCGGCAAATGATTGGTCGAAATTTAATTATGACGTCAAATTTTCTTGGTTTCTTCTGATTTTTTTATTGTGACGTCATGAAAAAAGGCGACCATGCCTGATGACGTCACATATAAAGAACATAACTTTATTCAAATCTTTGAAAAGGAAGGATATCTGCTAACAATCATTAGAGAAACAGATTCCACCACTTTAACTCGTGTATTACGATATTTCTCCACTCTCAACAGTTGAATTTTAATTCTCTAAAAAGCTCAGCAAACCTCGCGCTTTAATATTAAAATTTAAATGTCTCGAGTGGAGAAATATCGTAACACACTTGATGCAGTGGTGGAATCTGTATTTACCTGACAAGGTTAAATTCTACTGTCTTCGATAAATTGTTCCGAAAATTTTACTTAAAGAGATGGAAATGAGATTTACTTATTATTTTATAATGTATTTTTCCTGTATAGAGAAAATACACCTCTCACGTTAAAATAATGCAAATAAGAAAATCATTTTTTGAAATGACATTTTCAGCTCACCTGGCCCAATAGGCCAAGTAAGCTTTTCTCATCACTTGGCGTCCGTCGTTCGTCGTCGTCGTCGTCGTCGTCGTCCGTCGTCCGGCGTCCGTTAACTTTTACAAAAATCTTCTCCTCTGAAACTACTTGGCCAAATTCACCCAAACTTAGCAAAAATCATCATTGGGGTATGTAGTTTAATAAATGTGTCCGACGACCCCGCTTGCCAACCAACATGGCCGCCATGGCTAAAAATAGAACATAGGGGTGAAATACATTTTTTGGCTTGTATCTCTGAAACTAAAACAAAAGTATAATGGTTGCATTATTTCATGCATCAATTGTAAACAAAAATATCAGAATACAAATAAGTCAACATGACAAAAATTGTCAATTGACCCCTTAAAGAGTTATTGCCCTTTAAGTAAATTTTTAACAATTTTTCGTAAATTTTTGTAATCTTTTACAAAAATCTTCTCCTCTGAAACTACTGAGACAAATTTAACCAAACTTGGCCACAATCATCATTAGGGTATCTAGTTTAAAAATGTGTCCAATGACCCCGCCTGCCAATCAACATGGTCAACATGGCTAAAAATAGAACATAGGGGTAAAATGCAGTTTTTGGCTTATATCTCTGAAACTAAAACAAAAGTATATTATTTCATGCATTAATTGTAAACAAAAATATCAGGTGAGCGACACAGGCTCCTTAAAGCCTCTAGTTAAAAATACCCGAACCAACAAATGGCAGTAAATTCAAAATTCTAAATTGTATTCCAAATGTAGAAATATACTATCTTATACAAACCATTGTTTGTAATTACATACATTTTGTTTTGCGTTTCTCCTGAAATAAAACAGCATGTTGATTTTTAGCTCACCTGGCCCTGTGGGCCAAGTGAGCTTTTCTCATCACTTGGCGTCCGTCGTCCGTCGTCGTCGTCGTCGTCCGTCCGTCCGTCCGTCGTCGTCCGTTAACTTTTACAAAAATTTTCTCCTCTGAAACTACTGGGCCAAATTTAACCAAACTTGGCCACAATCATCATTGGGGTATCTAGTTTTCAAAATGTGTACGACGACCCCGCTTGCCAACAAAGATGGCCGACGTGGCTAAAAATAGAAAATATTGGGTAAAATGCAAGTTTTGTCTATTATTCTGATAACCGTTATAAATAGATTTTTTGCGTTTTTGTCTTATATCTTAAAATTTATAATACATAGAAAGAAACTTAAATAAACAAAAATGATCAGTAAGACAAGATCTACAATTAAGACAAATGGCGAAAATTGTCCGACGACTCCTTATTGCCCTTTAATGACGATTTTTACGATTTTTTTTTTTTTTACGTTTTGCCTTATATGATAGAAATTATGATAGATAGATAAAAATAATCAAAAATGATAAGCAAGACAAGATCTACTAACCGATATAATTAGTAGACTGTTACTCTTTATAGGAGTTATTGCCCTTAAATTAGGAATTTTTTTTACCCTCTTTTGTGTTTGGAGCAAAAGCTAAATAAGATAGAGAGAAACTAAACAGACTTCAATGATCAGCAATATAAGATATAAAAAACAGAGATTTTTGTTATTAATTCTATCCTCGTCTACAATGTTGGAGAGTGTCCTTTGTTGAATATGCATATAGACCAAGGTGAGCGACACAGGCTCTTTAGAGTCTCTAGTTTTTTTTCAGTGGTTAGTTTTTTCATAAGATGAAAAGTTGATTAAATTAAAGTACTGAATAGATAAATATTCAAACTCACTCACCAGTTACAAGAGCAATAGCTGGTCCATATAGTACTAATCCTAGATAGATAGCCTGTAATATAACCGTCACTAAACCTTTCAAATCAAAATAGTATGTTAAGTTTATTTGTGTATAAATCTGCTACATTCGTTTATCTTGTGTTTTCACAAAAAGTTTTGTATTTAGAATTACTGTTATTGATACAATCAAAAACACTTTTCATTGCCGTTTAATTTAAGCTCCAAAATCAACCTATCGAAAATTGAATGGAGAAATGTATGCTAAACGTTTAGCGGCGAATACAGAATATTTGAAGGCACATATTTTAATGTGATACAATCATAAACCCTGACTTTTGCTTAACCGACATTACATTACCTACCAAATTAGACTTAATACCGGGTTTGTACTAACATGAGCAACACGACGGGTGTCACATGTGGAGCAGGATCTGCTTATCCTTCCGGAGCACCTGAGATCACCCCCAGTTTTTGGTGGGATTCGTGTTGCTCAGTCCATTGTTTTCTATTTTGTGTTTTGTGTACTGTTGTTTGTCTATTTGTCTGTTTCTTTTTTAGCCATGGCGTTGTCAGTTTATTTCGACTTGTGAGTTTAAATGTCCTTTTGGTATCTTTCGCCTCTCTTTTACAACCTGCAAAGAGATATCGCATTCTGATCGAACACGTTAGTTTAATTAAGCGAGTAATCGCTTTTATTGCCTACAATACACGGAAAATTTGAACAAACCCCGCCAAAACTTCGTTGGTATACTAAGGTGCTCCGAAAGATACAGAATGTCTTGGTTCTCTGGTGATATCATCCGTGACTCTTGTTGAAAGACAATGATGAGTCACATCCGGAGATAAAAGAATTTTGCAATAGATGACAAAATCGATGTGAAAACATGAATCGGCAGTTGATAAAAAAAGTTGAATTTTAACTTTAACGTAAGCTATAATTCAAATAGGTAGGACAGTCCATAACAGTTGTTTAATAACACTATGGGTTCATGACTTCACACCATACAGTAGTAATATTTAGTAATAACTCTGTAGAAACAATAGAAATGCACAAAATACTTACAACTACTACAAGTCCAAGGAAAGAAGCAAGCTTTCTGGGAGCATGATGATTATACCGTAATTCCAAGTACTGTAAAAATAGGAATAATATACCCTTACTTTTGACACATAAACATTAAAATTGAGCACCAATTACCAATAAGAATAGTCAATAGAAAATACTCGTCTTAAGACACAATATATGGTTAAAATCAATTTCTATGTATTCTTGCATTAAATTTGATATTTGTGCATGTGATGTGTGTACAGAAAAGATTACCACGAGTTCTCATGAAGGGTAGGTACTCTTATCGGCGCATGAACTGCTTTTTAAGATCGATGTTCGCTCCTCTATTTCAAAATAACAAGCTGTTTAAATGTCTATTATAAATTTGTTCTATACAAATGGCGGAACTTAAAAAGAAGAAAAAAATGACAGGTATGTGTCCTTGTTTTTGAGATATAATCAATTGAAAATTTGGCAGGAAATGATTCTCTCAAGATTTTTAATGCATTTAACATTGGTACATTTTTCTTTCAAAAACTATGAAAAAAACAAGGAATTTATTAGATTTTCAAAAATGGCTTTTTGAACTATATGTATATAAAATTATGAAAAGAAAAAGTAAGGGTTAGCAGGCAAAATTTTTATTTGCTATACATGGATAAAACTAGAAGATTCCGAATATCTGACAAAAAGTCAAAAACATGAGTAGCGAACATCCTCAAGTTAACATTCTTTCTATTACCACATACCGTCTTCTTACTTTCGAAAACAAAAGTCAATAATGCTCTCAATGTGACTAATGTTATAGGTCGAAAGAAAACATTCTTGTTGCCCTACTGAGTGTTGTTTTTTATATAAATCATATATTTTTCTATTATTAAGTCTGCGTTTAAATAAGTTTTAGCGCTATCATACTGATTTGTTCCAATGATAATTTGCCTCTTAAATATAGAAGTTTGTTAATAGAATTATTAAGTTTCTTATGTCATTCTTATGTGTTTTTGTTAGAATACCAAATAAAACAAAATCTATATTAAAGTTAGTTCTATTTCTATTTTTTTCAAATATCCAGGAGATAAGGTCTTCCCATAATTGTAATATACAAGGACACATATTATTGGGCGAAAGAAAACCTTCGTGTCTATTTTTTTTTTCTTATATATTGATATTGGTGTTTTATGATTTTGTTTATACCTGTTTCGTGTGTTTGTATTGGTTTGTTTTGTTTTGTTTTGTTTCATTGTATTTGTTTAGTGTGTTTGTTTTTGTTTTGCTTGTTTGTTTATGTTCTGCTGGTTTTAATGTTTGGTTATTGCTTGTGTGCTTTTGAAGAGTGTGTGACACCGTTTTCATAGCGCATCACACACATTCATAATCAAAAAAAAAATATCAAACGTCAAAAGTCAAAGATTAGATAGTTGACGTTCGAAATCATTAAAAAATTTAAAGGATCGAAATCACAATAGCCTTACCCTCAAGGATCAACTAAAACTGAAAATATCAATGGAAAATATTGGCAGCATACAACTAGGTTAAGGAATAATTTGTATGAAATGCGAGATGTAACGGCATATTTGATTGGATGATGTCCGCCGTAAATAAAGGCAACAGTAGTATACCGCTGTTCGAAACTCATAAATCGATAGAGATAAAAACAAATCCGGGTTACAAACTAAAACTGAGGGAAACACATCAAATATAAGAGGAGAACAACGACACAACAAAAACACATCATCAAAATGTAACACACAAAGAAACGAACTATAATATAACAATGGCCATTTTCCTGACTTGGTACAGGACATTTTAAGAAAAAAATGGTGGTTTGAACCTGGTTTTGTGGCATGCCAAACCTCCCGCTTTTATGGCAACGTCAAACACAACACCAAAACGACAACATCACATGACAGGACCACAAAACAAATAAATGGGAGAACATATAGGACAAAGAAACACACGAATAATAGCTAACAAAAGGTACTAGGCTTAAAATTCAATACGCCAGACGTGCGTCTCGTCCACACAAGACCAACCAGTGACGCTCAGATGAAAAAAGTTTGAAAGCCAAAACAAGTACAAAGCTGAAGAGCACCGAGGACCAAAACTTCCAAAAAGTTGCGCCTAACACGGCCAGGGTTTTCTGCCTGGGACAAGAACATCCTTATTATTTAGAATAATTTATAATTTGGCAAACAGTAAATTTTATAAAATGACTATATAATAGATATACATGATAAAACCGAAGTGGGAACTAACTACAGAATAAAAACGGATACATTCCATAAAACAACTTAATCCAACACTTAAAAATACACAGCCGAGTTAGCCAAAGCCTCAACGCACAAAGTGACGTCACATTTGAAATTCTAAGAAAAAACACACAAAGTGACGTCACATTTGAATTTGTAAAAATAAATAAATAAGATAGGATTAGGATTGATATAAGATTAGATTTGTAATACTGACATTACATTTATTAATAACAATGAAAATTACAATACTTATTAATATCAAATTGTGGTAGTAATTAGAAAATTAATTGTATTATCTAGCTATGTCGGTGTTTCTTCTAAATCAAACTGTAAACCAAATATATCGTATAAATTTCGTTGAACCAAACTAAAATCTAATAAATGAAGGGGTGATTAATTATTTTTAAATGTCAGGGTCAATGGGTGCATTCGCCGTCAATGTCAGAGTCAACGGATGCAGTTGTCGCCAATGTCGGAGTCAATTGGTGGTTACGCCGTCAACGTCGTAGTCAATGGATATGTTTGCCGTCAATGTCGGAGTCAATATATCCAAACGCCGTCAATGTCGGAGTCAATGGGTGCATACGCCATCAATTTCGGAGCCAATGGGTGAATACGCCGTCAATGTCGGAGTAGATGGGTGCATATACCGTCACTGTCGGGGTCAATGGGTGCATTCACAGTCAATGTCGGAGTCAATGGGTGCATTCACCGTCAATGTCGGAGTCAATTGTTGCAATTGCCGTCAATGTTCGAGTCAATGGATGTATTTGTCGTCATTGTCGGAGTCAATGGGTGCATTTGACGTCAATGTCAGAGTCAATGGATGCATTTGCCGTCAATGTCGGAGTCAATTGGTGGTTACGCCGTCAACGTCGTAGTAAATGGATGCATACGCCGTCAATATTCGAGTCAATGGATGCATTCGCCGTCAATGTGTGAGTCAATGGGTGCATTCGCCGTCAATGTCGGAGTCTATAGGTGCATACGCCGTCAATATCGGAGTCGATGGGTGCATACGCCGTCAATGTCGGGGTCAGTGGGTGCATTCGCCGTCAATGTCGGAGTCAATGGGTGCATACACCGTCTATGGATGCATTCGCCGTCATTTTCGGAGTCAATGGATGCATTCGCCGTCATTTTCGGAGTCAATGGGTTCATTCGGCGTCAAAGTCGGATTCAATGGGTGCATACGCCGTTATTGTTGAAGTAAAAGGATGCTTTCGCCGTCAATGTCGGAGTCAATGGATGCATTCGCCGTCAATGTCGAAGTCAATGGGAGCATTCGTCGTTATTGTTGTAGTCAATGGATGCATTCACCGTCAACTTTGGAGTCAATTGGAGCATTTGTCGTCAACGTTGTAGTCAATGGATGCATTTGCCGTCATTGTCGGAGTTAATGGGAGCATTTGCCGTCATTGTTGTAGTCAATGGATGCATTCGCCGTCAATGTCGGAGTCAATGGGTTCATTCGCCGTCAATGTCGGAGTCAATGGGAGCATTCGTCGTTATTGTTGTAGTCAATGGATGCATTCACCGTCAACTTTGGAGTCAATTGGAGCATTTGTCGTCAACGTTGTAGTCAATGGATGCATTTGTCGTCATTGTCGGAGTTAATGGGAGCATTTGCCGTCATTGTTGTAGTCAATGGATGCATTCGCCGTCAATGTCGGAGTCAATGGGTTCATTCGCCGTCAATGTCGGAGTCAATGGGAGCATTCGTCGTTATTGTTGTAGTCAATGGATGCATTCACCGTCAACTTTGGAGTCAATTGGAGCATTTGTCGTCAACGTTGTAGTCAATGGATGCATTTGTCGTCATTGTCGGAGTTAATGGGAGCATTTGCCGTCATTGTTGTAGTCAATGGATGCATTCGCCGTCAATGTCGGAGTCAATGGGTTCATTCGCCGTCAATGTCGGAGTCAATGGGAGCATTAGCCGTCAATGTTGTAGTCAATGGATGCATTCGCCGTCATTGTCGGAGTTAATTGGAGCATTTGCCGTCATTGTTGTAGTCAATGGGTGCATTCGCCGTTATTGTCGGAGTAAATGGGAGCATTTGCCGTCAACGTTGTAGTCAATGGATGCATTCGCCGTCAATGTCGGAGTCAATGGGTTCATTCGCCGTCAATTTCGGAGTCAATTGGAGCATTTACCCTCAACGTTGTAGTCAATGGATGCATTCGCCGTCAATGTCGGAGTCAATGGGTTCATTCGTCGTTTACGTTGTAGTCAATGAATGCATTTGCCGTCAACTTTGGAGTCAGTGTGAGCATTTGCCGTCAACGTTGTAGTCAATGGATGCATTTGCCGTCAATGTCGGAGTTAAAGGGAGCATTTGCCGTCATTGTTGTAGTCAATGGATGTATTCGCCGTGAATGTAGGAGTAAATGGGAGCATTTGCCGTCAACGTTGTAGTCAATGGATGCATTCGACGTCAATGTCGGAGTCAATGGGTTCATTCGCCGTCAATGTCGGAGTCAATGGAAGCATTCGCCGTTAACGATGTAATCGACGGATGCATTCGCCGTCAATGCTGGAGTCAATGGGAGCATTTGCCGTCAACGTTGTAGTCAATGGATGCATTCGCCGTCAATGTCGGAGTTAATGGGAGCATTTGCCGTCATTGTTGTAGCCAATGGATGCATTTGCCGTGAATGTCGGAGTCAATGGGAGCATTTGCCGTCAACGTTGTAGTCAATGAATGCATTCGCCGTCATTGTCGGAGTTAATGGGAGCATTTGCCGTCATTGTTGTAGTCAATGGATGCATTTGCCGTGAATGTCGGAGTCAATGGGAGCATTTGCCATCAAGGTTGTAGTCAATGGATGCATTCGCCGTCAATGTCGGAGTCAATGGATTCATTCGCCGTCAATGTCGGGGTCAATTGGAGCATTTGCCAATAACGTTGTAGTCAATGGATGCATTCGCCGTCAATGTTGGAGTCAATGGGTTCATTCGCCGTCAATGTCGGAGTCAATGGGTTCTCTCGCCGTCAATGTCGGAGTCAATGGGTTCACTCGCCGTCAATGTCGGAGTCAATGGGAGCATTCGCCGTTAACGTTGTAGTCAATGGATGCATTCGCCGTTAAGATTGGAATCAATGGGTATAGTAAATATATGGACTTGACGGTGACAATTCTTCTTGTATTATTTCTAAATATTATTCTTTACCTGATAAACAGTTTTGATATCCAATGGGTGAAGTAGTGGTGCAATCAGCAGGCTAATCAGAACAAAACCAATGCTGACTCCCACAAGTATCCACATGAACATTGTTCCATATACGTACAATTCTGCAGGCATACCAAGTAGGAAAACTGAAGACTGATATGTCACAATCAACGACAAGGTAACCGGTATGGCACCCATTGTTTTCCCACCAAAGTAATATTCATTCGTTGTTTTGTGATGACGTCCTTTAAATGCATGATAAACCCCGATACCTATCGAAATGAATAAACAAGCACCGAAGATGACATAATCCAAAGGAGCAAACTGTCTGTGTGACATGCTAACTTAGTTGTCCTACGACCTCTATCCAATAACTTTCTCAAAATATTAGTTGTCCCACGACCTCTGTCCAATAACTATCTCAAAATATTAGTTGTCCAACGAGCTCTGTCCAATAACTATCTCAAAATAATACAAAAATATTTAAGAATCGATAAATTGTTACATTGAATGATTTTACAGTTATTTACCATAAATATATACTGAAAATGTATTTTGCAAAGAATAATTAAAATGTTACATCATAACAGATTAAAAAAGAAGAATCGTTAAAACGGAACGTGTCACTTGTGTAATGAAAAAGAATCACTATGTCATCTTTTTATATAAATTAAGAGTCGAAAATTTACAAAAGTCAGAAATTAGTATCCTTTTATGTGTCATAAATGCAGATACAGATTTCAACGAGTAGCACGTGGCAAAAGATCATTCGACAGGAATGTTATAGAAATCATCATAACAAAATTACTAAATGAAGTTCTTTAAAACCGAAACTGCTTAATATACAGGTAGCTATTATGGGAAAAAATATACAGATAACATGAATAATCTGTTCAAATGATTATATATGGCGTGATGTATACAAATATATATAGATGATTATTTAAAATCGGAGGTTTTTTTTCCTCATTGGCATTTTCCCCGACAAATGAGACTGTAATAATGCGGGGTCCCCTAAGTTGCTTCCCTCGACAACTTATAGAGTTATGTAACAGGTGATAATTAATAAAGTATGTTTACAATTTTTAAAAAAAGCTCGAAGCTGGATCTTCAAATTACAGTAATGTTTGTCAGCTTGTTTTTCAGCTGTTTACAAGTTTTCGAACCTTATATCACTCCCGATGTTTGTCATTGTCCTATTCGTGATATATGTTTTTGGTTCTGCGTATTTACCAATTAATGTCTGATTTTGATGAAAGTATTGTGCCTTTGTTTTAAATTGACAGCATGGATATCTATGGTTTATAAGCTCTTTGTGTTTGTTTTTTTTCAAGTATTTCAGCCTCGAGCATCACCAAAGACATATTCTTTTCGCAGTGCCCATCTGGTGTATAGGAATTGGAACCGTTAAATTTCTGTTTCTATACACATCATAAATTGGTCAAAATTTGTAATTATTTTTTCAAAAATATGAAGATTTATTTGAAAAGTATGATTTTACCTGCATGAATTTGTTAAAGACTTTTTTTTAAAACAAATTACATTCTACATCTATATTTTCACAGTTATATAATTTATAAAGCTATCAGATTTCAGATTTGTCCATTAAATCTTTCGTTCGTATTTGAAAGACTGGTTTATCAAAGGTTATACTGATTAAATTGTTGTTTTCCAAACTTTTTATTTGGTAATTTTGTTATTGATATTATGTCTGAAGAAAGAGGTTGATATTTCTTTTGTGTAGCATTAAAAAAAAAGAGAAGAAAAAAAACTTATTAAAAACTTCAAGCGTCCGCGGCACTTTTCTGGATTTATCTGATTTCGGGACGCACAAAGTTGAATATATATTTAAGAGCCACGGATGTATAAGAACTGATTCACAGAAACAGTTTAAGAGATACACGACCAACATAAAATTTGGTATCGAACCGACTGCTAGCAGCCGGTTGGGTATTGAATATCGAATAACGAATAACGAACCGGCTGCTAACTTCACATACATGATATTACAAAGTTAAAAATCCATGGTCTATCTCCAATGGAAATATAGGGATATTTTACAATGTTTGTAGTGAAATGTTCAAAGAACAGGATGCATTTATTTATCTAAGTTTCTTTTCTACTAGTATAAAAAACAACCGAATAAAGAGTAATTCTTCATGTTACGTACATTCGATTCTTATATAACTTTTTATGTCTCTGTCAAATATTTATGATATTTAGCTTTTAAACTTTAAATCTAAATTTTTACCACTATCACCAAATGGGAAATACATCATTATAAGATTCACACGACTTAGTGCTTCTCCAAAACTGATTTTCATTTCATTTTCGTTACGTACTTCATGTTACTAAACTGATCAGATTTCTCGAGAACTACCAGTTTCAGACTCCCACCTAATCATGTGACTGTTAATTTCTCGGGAACCACTAGTTCGGACTCCCACCTAATCATGTGACTGTTGATTTCTCGAGAACCACTAGTTTCAGACTCCCACCTAATCATGTCACTGTTGATTTATCGAGAATCACTAGTTTCAGACTCCCACCTAACCATGCGACTGTCTAATGACAGAAACTCTCCTATCAGTTGTATTTTGTGATATTCTATTTTGTGTTAATAATAAATTCGTCATAGATACCAGGATTAAAATTTTATACGCTAGACGCGTGTTTCGTCTACAAAAGACTCATCAGTGATGCTCGAATGAAAAATGGCAGATCTTAAATAGTCTCTGTTTAATTAATCATCTTATATTTTTCTAAATTTGGAGCGCTAAGGAGCTTGATAAAGTGTACAGACATCTTGATACAGTTTAGGATCTTGTGTTGCCAACTTTTTAAGCTTTATTTCCAGATTAAAAATTATATCAATGAGCTGATAGACAAAAAAACTTTCAGCCAATCAGAAGACGTGTTACATCAAAAAGTAATTTATACAGCGATATCTCACGAGTTGTTAACCCTATTACACGAGGAACCGACTTGCTCTGGTTAAACATGTGCGTGTTTTTTTATATCATTAAAGGAGTCTTAAATATAAGGCGCATATGGGAAAAGTCCGTTTTGACGTTTGAAAGTCATTATTGATATTAACGGATAGCAATTAAAAATTACGCAACTTGATTACACCTAGCTTGCTGGCCAGGGCAACCCAAATTTACGAGTTTGTCGTATGATACATATTACAGAAATTAGAATAAGTTAACAGGTCACAATCATAAGTGAAATAACAGTACAAAGCTTTAAAGTGTATCAATATCTCAGTTCTTAATCTAATTCACTTGTATACCTTCCTTTTGGTTCTCACATATCATCCAATTTTATCTCAAGACAAATGCCAATTAAAACTGGTAAGTTAATTCAAATGATATACAACATCCTGTGTCAATTATTCATTCAATGTATACATTTTAAGAAAGTTCAAAACTTGAATTCACATGTTACATAAAATTGTTTTTTAAAAATCCCGTCAAGCACAGCTGTCACAAGATAAATCAAAAGTTATTTAATTGATTAACCAAGTATAAAAAACATATGTCGTGAAATATTTTACTAATTTTCATGTATTATGTCGTACATGTGAAATGAATTTGTTTCTATATTTATCGCAGAAAGACTACAACTACTGAGCACCAGCTAGCTCTGATAAAAAACGCGAGAAATTTGTACTGACCAAAACAAAGTGTATGAGAAGAATAGTATGTACCGTACGTAGTAAAATGACCGAACTTGACTATTCATGTACTGATTCTCATTGTGAATCCTCTTGCATCTCATTTCATTTAACCAGATTTTTATTTGTTTATTACATATAACAAAAAGGATCAGTCACAAGTTATCACAACTTAGATAGTCCTCTCCTAAATATAATAAGTTATAATATATAAATATAAAGACATGCAACAACAACATTAGATAATTATAGATTTGTACAATAGTTATAGAAATAAGAAAGTTCACAATTTCTCAAATTGACAAACAACAGTCCTACTTCAAAAAGCTTATTCATCGACATACTAAACTAGTTTAGTGCGACGTCCATTTTCATTGAACTAGTACACATTTTTGTTTAGGGCCAGCTGAAGCCCGCCTCCGGGTGCAGGATTTTCTCGCTGTGTTGAAGACCTATTGGTGGCCTTCGGCTGTTTTATGCTCTTTGGTCGGGTTGTTGTCTCTTTGACACATTCCTCATTTCCATTTTCAATTTTATATCAGTTCAAAAGAGAAAGAACAATTTCTTTCTAAAGGTCAAAACATTCACTTTTCCGAATAAAATGCAAGACTTCTTTAATAAAGGATGTATTTTGACTAAGAGTTAAATTTTCGTTTCCATTTAGTTAAGTATCAAGATCTGATAACTAACAGACTGCTATGTAAAATAGTAGTACCGTAGTTTATTGTTATCATCAGTATTTTTTAATCACAAATACTGTTTAAACTAAAAGAAAACTAGCTAATGCATGTGGCTGACGCATGTCATGTTTTATGTTGTTGAGATAGAGCAAAAAAAAGCCTAAAAATACCTCAAAAATAGCCACAAAAAATACACGAAAACAATTAAGGATGTTCGCTGATCTTGTTTTTGACTTTTTGTCAGATATTCGGAATTCTCTGGTTTTATGCTTGTAGTGTCATTTTCAGGTATTCGGAATCCTACTGTTTTATCCATGTAGTGTCATTAAAAAAATCTGTCCGCCAACCCCTACTTTTATTTTCATGATTCTATTACATATAATTTAAAATCCATGTTTTGTATTCTTGAATATCTCTGCTTTTATAGTTTCTCTAATTTTACACTACCAATTTATAACCATGTTATTCTGAAACAGAGTAGCGAACATGTCGTCATTGACCTCAAAAGCTAACCAATCCTTTAAACAGGCTTATTCAGAAGGGATATAGTTACGATACTGTTGTCAGGTCATTAATGATGGCCTTTTTTGGAATTAATATTGATTCACTCATAGAGTCTTTGCATCGGAAATAACATTTGTTCTAAAACCAGTTGTTGGCATGCTCCGGGTCATGTTCTTCTCGTATAATGGATGGCATGATACTAAACCCCTAAAGGGAGGATTTGTTGTTTGATTTTCATCATCTGTTCTGGAGCTGGCATGTCAGTACCTGCTAGTCGTCCTTTGTTAATTTGTTTATCATTGTCACTTTGCTTAGTTTCTTCAGGTACCTATTCTAACATAGGACTCGGACTTCGGACTTCGGTCGCTTATAGGACCACTTAAATGGTTAACTTTTCAAAGAAAACAGTAGGTAGAAAAATTAGGAGAAAATGCCCCATATAATACCTTGGGAATGTATTCCACAACACAAAAAGGAAT